GGCCGAATTTTGCTGGTACATGTTACATTTTTTCTTTTATATAAATTATATATATATATATATATATATATTTAGTGGTCAATGGGCTATTGATTTATTTATTTATATGCAGCGCTGGGAATTGAACCCAGTGCCTCACATGCGCTACGCAAGTGCTCCACCACTGATCCTCAACCCCAGCCCCACTTTTTTGTTTTATTTGACTTTAGAAAAAAAAATAATTGTAGATGGTCACAACATCTTTGTTTATTTTTTATGTGGTGCTGAGGATCAAACCTGGAGCCTCACATGTGCTAGGCAAGGGCTCTACTGCTGAGCCACAACCCCAGCCCCCAATTTTGTTTTTTAATCTGCTTTTAATGAATACTTAGACACTTAAAAATTGCACATAGCCATGGGGTACCATGCAATGTTCCTGTACACGTATGCATGGCACAGGGTCTGATTCATGGTAAATATACCCTCGTGCTGGAAAGAGTATTATTTCACTGGGGTGGACATTCCACATCCCTTCTCCAGCTGCTCGGAACACACAGTATGGTCCCCGCTCCACAGTCACCCTGCCAGGGCCTCTTGCTCCTCTCCAGCTCTGTCTGCCACCCTCTGACTGACCTTTCCCGTCCCCCACTTCCCATCATTTGGAAATCTATTTGACACACATCTAGAGTCCGTGTGCTGGGTATGCTTCGGGGCTCGGGCTGGCTTTGTAAGAAACTCTCCAACAGCTTTTCAGTGTGGGTCCCACTGGCCACAATGGGGCATTGGCTCTGGTTGGCACGCTGCCAGTGTGGCATTTTCTATTTGGGGTTGGAGCCCTTTCAGTAGGTGTGTTGTGGGTTCTTGTTGTCCTTTAATTTGCTGTTCCCAGGTGACGCAGGGTGGGAAGCACGCGTTGCAGGCCATCTCTCCCCACAGATCTTCTCTGGCCTGTGTTTTTGGACATTCTTCCTACATTTCATTTGGGTTGTTCAGCTTCTTAATGTGGATTTTTCAAGAGTCATTTGTAACTTTGGACACAGGTGCTTTGTCCAATACAGTCCTCTTGTCTTTCCATTTCCGCAGCAGTCTTACACACAGGAGATTTTAATTCTTAAAAGTTCCACTTGTCAGATTTTTCCTTTGTGAGTCGCCCATTGTGGTTAGATCTGAATCTTATAGGACATTAAGAGGAACCTAGATTCTCTTCCTCATTCATTTTCTCTGCAAATTGTATAGATTTGCATTTTGCATTTAGGTCTAAGATGCATTTTGAGCTGATTCTGGAGGAGCTTGTAGAGCCTGTGCCTGTTGTGTGTGTGTGTTTGCATTTGATCCAGCACCACTTGCTGATAAGACCATGCTATTTCCCAGTATGCAGCCTCAGTTACTCTTGGAGAGAGCAATTGGCCTGCTTCAAATTTGTTTGTGTGCATACTAGAATGAAGTTTGGGAGCCGTATTGCAATAATATGTTCAACTTTCTGAGGAAGCACAAGTTGTTTTTCCACAGTGGCTGCACTATTTCATATTCCACCAATAAGGCACAGGATTGCAAACTACATGCATCTTAGCCAATCTTCGTTAACTTAAAGTTTTGATGATAGTCACCCAGAAGTTTCTGTGGTGTTATTGCATTGTGATTTTGATTTTCTTTTCCCAATGACTGCTGGTATATCAGGAGGCTTTGCACATTCTTCTGAAACAGTCTCTGTAGTCCTCTGTCTGGTGAAGAATTTTGAAGTGCAGGGAGAGATATAGACAACTGAGATGGGGACATGTTTGGTTGATATCATTCTGTGCATGTCTGTATGTGTGCAGATGCAGTATATTTGTGTACCAGGCGTGATGTACCCACCTGAACATGCACTAGTTCAACTTGCTTCTTTCCCATAATGCAGAGGAAACTAGGTCTTTCCTTTCCTATATAAGATGCAGAATTGCCTAAGCTGATGTCCTGAGAACTTTGCAAAATGTGTGGTACACGGGTCATTGGGAGAATCTCCTTGAATCCTCCAAGAAATGGGCAACTGCCAATCACAACCACACAATACATCTCCTTTAAGAGGGAGATCAATATCAACAGATCCTAATGTGAACAATATGTCGCCTTAAACCAAATAGCTCCCATTAGATTGTTTACAGTTTTCTTGCAACAGACAGCATGGTGAGTTAGATTATTATCTACAACATTAACAGTAGATTTGCAAAAGGGTCTACAGTTTCTTTTTAAATTTAATTTAATTTAACATTTTTAGTTTTAGGTGGATACAATGTCTTTATTTTACATTTATGTGGTTCTGAGACTCGAACCCAGTGCCTCATGCATGCGCTGAGAGCACTATGTGTACCTACCACTGAGCACAACCCCAGCCCCAAAGGGGTCCACAGTGTCTGATGGTGGACAAAGAGAACCAGGAGTGGGGTATATAGGGTGAGATGTTAAGGAGGTAGGGGGTGAGGACACAGAGTTATTAGATCTTAGGAAGCGTGAAAGAGGAATCAAAAGAAGTTGGCTGGTAGCAGGAGAAGAGAGAGAGAAAAACTTTAAGGAGACAGATGAATGGGAAGAATGTGGAGAGAGTACAACACACAAAATTATTAAGAAAAAGAAAAAATGGAAAAATAAAAGATCAAAGTGTCCACAACACAACTGCAATATAGTGTTACACAGACATCCCAGTCCTCAGTAGCCTAATGCAGGAAAAGCACTTGGTTTCACAAATGTTGGGGATTGAGGGCGGGAGAAGAGAGAGGAATAAAAGAAAAGAAAAAAAAATCCTGATGAACAATTAAAGGGTGGTTCCTGCTGGAGTCCAGCCTCTTCCCCGCTTCCCTTCTCATCCCGGAGGTGGGGGCCTGCTGCTTGCTGGTATCTCCACCCTCAGGATGGTGCTGGTTATTAGGGTGGGAGGGTTGGCCTTGGGCACAGAGCTCCTGGAGGTGGGGCATAGCACTTGCCGTCCTCCAAGCATCTCCTTTGGGGCCCATTTGTGTGATGTGGCACTGGTCTTATCCCTGTTTGTCACCTGTAGACCCCACAATTCCTGGTCTCTAATTTGGCCTCTAAACTGTCTTTCTGTCATCCCTCTGTTTCTGCTTCTCAGTCAGGAACCTCTCTTTCCAGAGGTCCTGTGGGCTGAGCTCTGGGGCCTGCACATCCAACTAAAGATGGTGATGGTGGTAGCGAGGACAACCCACGATGGCAACAAAGGTGTCCCAAGATGGAGGTGGCCACTTCAGAGATGGGGCTTCGGGGCAGACTGGGTGGTATTGGGCAGCGTGTTTGGAGAGTAGCTCTCTGGCATGCAATGCTGTGGCAGTTGGCTGTCTCCAGACCCTGTCTGGTGTCCCCAGGGGCAGGCTTCAATGTGGTGGGGACTATGACAGCGGTTGAAGTGTCCCAAGATGGAGGTGACTAGGGGAGCCCCACCTTAGTAGATGAGGGTCCTCACGGGAGTGATGGCCTGGGGTCCTATGAGGGCGTGTTGGCCAGGGGCCCTGCTTGGCACAGTTGTCAAGGTCCTTCTAATAAGTCAGAGAAACAGCACTCCCACTGCTTGAATCCCAGGTCACAGTGCCACAAAGGGTGCAGCCCCTCTAGCCCACCACAGAGAAGGTCGACACATGGCAAGGGCTGCTCAGCAGATGGACCTGAGAATAACATGGCAAGGACCTGAGCCAGAGCCAGGAAGTCAGAGGTCAAATGTCTTCTCTGAGATGCAGAAGCTAGTCCCAAATAAGGAGAGGAGAAGAGAGAGAGAGGGAGGGAGGGAGGGAGAGGGAGGGAGAGAGGGTGGGAAGGAGGGAGGGGGATAGAGAGAGACAGGGAGGGAGAGAGAAGGAGGGAAGGAAGGAGAGAGATGCAGAAGAGAGAGGGAGAGAGAGG